AGGCAGACAAGGGTAATGACCACTCTAAGTAGGAAATAAATGTTTTCTAGCACTGAAGTCCCTCTAAAAGTATTTAGATTTACTTTTTAGAAACAAACTATGGTATTACTGATTTTCATGGGCATTTTACTTAAATGATCTGCAAATAAGTATAATTCTCCTTTATACATAAGTTTTCCTGGAGGGTCCTACGGGGCCCTTTACAAACCTCACTTGCTAGACTGGAGGCATCCTCCATTAAATCAGCAAGCTCCAACCAAGTCAGATGCTCACTTACATATAAACACCATCACAGCCCCATGGATGGCTGCCCTGCAGCAGGTGACTCAGAGTACGAGAGTACAGTCTCCATCTCCCAGCTTCATTGTGAAACTCAAGTCACTTTAGCTATGCACATAAGCTTTAGTTATATACATAATCCTATTCTTCATGAAAAGGTCTCAAGTGATTCAGATGTTAATTTGTCCATGAATCCTGAACTAAAGCCAAAATTTCAACAGCATAGGCTGTACAACCAGAGGCAACCTTTCATAATTTCCTGAGGAGAATTTAATTGCTTGTCTGAGCCAAGGACACAAACTACGAATCTACCACAACAACTTCATCAGCAAGTATTTGAAATAGTGCCAGCAAAAGGCAATTCAAACCCCTGTGGCCATCTGACTCCAAGCGAGTATTGTCTATTTTTATTATTATTTTAAGTTATTAAAATAATGCTATATCATCATATTAGTATTAGCATCACCACATCTATTATTTAAACTATTAACAAAAATAACTTGCCTTGTAGCACTTGACAATTTCATAAATCCACCAGATCATTACAATAGCCCCATAGAGCAAAAATAGTAAAGTATATTATCTCTCTCCCCTGTTTAAGGATATTTTAAGGAAACAGATGCTCAGTTTTGTTGAGTAACTTATCCAGGGCTGCACAACACATAATGAGTAGTAGCAACTTAAAACCAGTTCTCACTCCACATCCACATTATTCCCCCTCCTTGATATAACCATTTGTGAGCTACTCTTCTGCTGAGATTTAAGACTACAGAGGTAGAATTATTAATTCTCCAACTGAGTCACAGCTTCCTGAGAGCAACTGTTTCCAAAACCACTTTGGTACTATACCCTACAAACACCATGTTCACTCTTAGGATGATGCAGATGGCTACAAGGTCTTTTGGATACAGACACCTGCCCCATTCCACTAACTGTGTGGCTCTTGGTAAGTGACATTCTTCTCCTGAAGCTTTGGTTTTCTCACCTATAATGGAGATCATGCTGGCAGCTACTCTTCCCAGAGTTGTGTGGATTAGAGGATATAACACATGTAAAGCAGGAAGTCAAGTGCCCAGCTCGAATGTAGACCATGTAGAATCAACATTGTCTATTGTCATTATGACTGATTTTCCAAAATTAAGCTTCAGTCACACCTACATCTGTTAGCCCTTCCTGACAAAGTTCACATCACAAGCATCTTCATTCGCTTCAGAGTCCCTTTGTATTTATGAAAGATTTTGTACTACTTGCCAATATATGGCCCTAAAATTGTTTTCCTTCCCAAAATTTTGAGTTATTTTTTGGAGAGCAGGAATTGTTTCCTTGTATTTATTTTTACTTCCCAGACATATGAAAAGTGCCTACTATGTACCATCTATATAGAATATCGAAATACTGTGCATTCAAAACAACAATGTAAAAATGTGTGTCCTCTCTGTTCTAGTCCAATGTCACAATGGCAGTAACCATCACAGTCCAAATCTGCAGCTTCATACGCAGGGTGTCTAGTCTGCACAAGAACCTGGCACAGGGAGAGGGCATGTTACCACTCTGTTCGAGGAAAGGTTAGACAGTATACCTAAGTTCACACACTGACTAAGTGTCAGCGCCCAGCCTGGAGACTAGGTTTGGTTGATCCAAAATACCTACTCCCTCCTACTACAACTTGCTGCATGCACTTCTGTTCCTGCACATTTCCAATTTGATCACATTAATTTACACCACCCATGTCAAAGTGAAAAAAACCCAACAGGGCTTCTTCTTTCTGTGCTGGAAGCCTTTGTCCCTCAAATTGAGGGATGTAGTGAGAAATAACAATCAGAATTGTTACCTCTACCTCAATCTTTCTTTCCCAGTCAGTTTGAAGATTCAATGGGAAATTACTTCTCAAAACAGAAATTGTCATTCTATTTAGAATACTTAACAAAATGCAAAATCAACTATTCTTTATTTCTGAAGATAAAGAGTAGATATCTCCTTTGAGGAGAAGGAATTAATATGACATAAAGAAAAATAATCTGGTAGCTTGGCTCTATTAGAAGAAAAATGTAAGACTTTGAACATGAATGTGATTACTGTATGCTAATATCCAGAAGCATCTGGATGAGCTTGACAGCCTCCAAGTCCTCCCCAGAATCACCATAAAGAGGGTGGACACAGAGGGCCAACTTTATGATTCCTCTATTTCTATTATCTCCCAATTAGTACACACTAGCCCCTGTTCACTGGAGAGTTTATAAAGTGATCAGTTTACCAAGCTGAGAAATGATTTTAAAACTTTTTGTCACAGTGTAACACACATACAAGGAAGCACAAATCATAAGTACACAGTGCAAGCATTACAAATCCATGGAATCTGCACCTGGTCAAGAAATAAAAGATTCCTAGCATTCTAGAAGCCTTTTCATAGTCCCTTCTAAAGACTGCCCCTTCCACGAGTTACTACTATCCTGATTATAACACCAGATATTAGTTTTGTCCATTTTGGCAACAATCATTATGTGCTCTTTTGTGTCTGCCTTTTTTCAGCCAACATTATGTTTTGCTGTATGTAAATGTAGTTCATTCATTAATCCACCTAAGTTTTGAAGGGGAGAATTGGCCAAGAAGAGTCAGACCACAGCACTAATGTCCAGGGCAAAGGCTGCTCTGCAGGTAAGGGAAGAGAGTTCCTGGGCAGCAAAGGGAGGCAAGGAGTGGAGAGGAGCACAGCACTGGGCAACAGGACAGGAAGTGAACTCCCAAAGGTGGGCTGGAATCACATAGTAGAGACTCCAAGTCTGCAATGGTCCCAGCACGGTGTGGGAGACTAAACTGAGATAAGAGGAGAGGGAAACAGCAGCTGTTAATTCATGCTCTTACTTCAGATTGTCCATGTAGGAGCCACCCAAACCGATACACACATGAAACTCTGCAATTCTTTCAGGGAAGTTCACCAATTGAGCTCAAATACAATCTTACTAGAAAACTCTCTCCATCTTATCTCACCACTCTCAGTATTAATATTTTGGATGTGCCACATACAAATATAATCAAGGAGTAAAATAGTCATTGATTCACTACTATGAGCCTAAAATTCTGCTAGATACTGCCAAAAATACCAAAAAAAGTCTCACCTTCCAAAATAACTACTGAAGACAAGAACAGCATACATGGAGCTAATGAAAAAGTAAGCGCTAGTATACAATGAACAACAGAATTGCACAGTATTAATAATAAGCAGGATTGATTCACCCATGGGGGATTAAAGATGAACAGAAGACTTAGAGAAGAGGGGACATTCCAGAGGAAAGGATAGCAGAAGCAAAGGCTTGAGGTCTGAACGAAGGTACAGCATGGACAATGAGTGGACAGGGGTCTCAAGGAAGCTAAAGAGCAGACCTTCCAGGTTGGAGTAACCCTTAATAGACTAGAAGGAGACACTGAATATAGGGAGAAATTGGGTTCAGTGACAAGGCAAGTTGGGGTCAGATAATGAAGGGACCCTTGAAATCTAATAGTAACATTTACCTTGATAAAGCAGTGTAGAGAATCCACCAAAGGTCTCTAAGCAGGAAAGTGAAATGTCGACAGTGATTGTGGTAAACATCATGGAGCTCAGCTCACAACCCTCTTTGGTGCCAACAGACCCATTCTTCAGCTACTTCACAGTTGTATCATTTGGTGGAAAGAGATCTTAGCTGCGGAAGCCTCCCCCAATTTCTGCCTCCTCTCATGGAGTGAGTTGCTCATAGCCAGGCCCTTGAGGAGGCAGAGAGGAGGAGACTCATAGGGCAATTACAGAGCAAAGGACAGCCACACGAGCAAAGAAATTAGAGGGCCTCTGAAATGGACCTCAGAGGTCACTCAGGAGAGCATGGTGTGGTATAATGGCCTGGTGCTTGGCCTCAATTTTTGACAAACCTAAAAGTTCATCCCAGCTGTGGAACACTCTGTAGGATCATCTGAGGTCTTAGGTACAACTTCATGTGGATCAACTCTCTCTGCCCAACCCTGCCTTCCTCACTTCCTTACAGCTGTGTCTCCTGAATCATTCTCCAATAAACCTGCATGCAGCATAGGTTTCCAGGGAACATGATCTAAGAGACTGTGTTGAAAGAAGACTAATCTAGCAGTAGAATGTAGAGGAATGTGAAAGAAGGGACATATAATCAGAAGGGCCCAGAAACAAACCTATTCCAAGAACCATCACTATTTTATAACTGAATAGTATAACAGCAATGAAGCTGAAAAGGCACACGTTGAAGTGGTAGCCATTTTGATGAAAACTCTACAAACATGTTGAGAGATGTCTTGTGAGGAGGGTCTAACATGACCCTGGCACAGATAACCTGAGAAACTGATATCTTTCAGTTAATGAAAACAATGTTAACCCTGAAGGCAATGGGATACTTGGTCTGGAGCATTCAAAACAGAGTTCGGTTTGGTCATGGTTTAGTTGGAGACAGTAGCACCACATGCAACTAGAGTTGTAGCAGGTTTTCTGAAATTTGGGGCTAAATCAGTCAAGGTTAGAGATGTGGGCTGGAAATAAGCACAAAGAGGTGACAACTTGTTCCATAAGGTTAGATGCATGTACTAGTCTGTTTTCACACTGCTATAAAGAACTATATTAGACTATAAACAGAAGAAGTTTAATTGACTCACAGTTCCACACAGCTGGGGAGGCCTCAGGAAACTTACAGTCACAGCAGAAGGTGAAGGAGAAGCAAGGCATATCTTACATGGCGGCAGAAGAGACAGAGCAAGGCAGGGAAATGTCACACTTTTAAACCAAAAGCTCTCATAAGAAGTCACTCATTATCACAAGAAGAGCAAGGGAGAAATCCACTCCATGATCCAATCATCTCCCACCAGACCCCTCCTCTGATACGTGGGGATTACAATTTGAGATGAGATTTGGGTGGGGACATAGAGCCAACCCACATCAATGCACTCTCATGAGGAGGTAAAGAAAATCAAGGTTATGGATTGGTGGGATGCCCAAGGAAGCAGAAAGAGGGGAAAACCTAATTAGAGAAGAGAAAGGACTTCAAAATGCCATATTTAGCAAATAAAAATACAGGATGCCCAGTTAAATGCTGCCAGGGTCATACTTATACTAAAAAAATTATTAACTTCTTATATGAAATTCAAATTTAAGTGGGCATACAAAATCTAATCTGGCAACCCTTGGAACTTCAAATACAAAAAAGTGGGGGTGGGGATGCAAAAACCTCAGGAACGTGTGGCATAATGAAACTACGGAAAGAGACAATTGTTCAGTGGTAGTAGCAAATGGTGTCAAATGACAAAATGATGTTAAGGATCACCAAAAATTTGGAAAGGTCACTGATAACCTTTAAAACATTCTAGTACTTATTTGAACAATTCTACAGACGATTAATTCCTAGGCTTGAGTTACTGTTACTTTCTTAACTTATTGAGTCCTGATTAAATTATTTTACCAAAATTGTCTAAAAGATGATAACTCTGTTGCCCACTCAGAGAAAAGGAAATGTTAAGTACTGCAAATCCTCCTCTTCCTACTGGAGGAAGGTTAACATTTCTCACAAAACTGAAAGCTATCAAAAAACTGGTTTTCTACATTAATATATGCATTTTCACATGACCATTTAAAATCTTCAAGAAATGTCTTCTCTCTTTTCTCTAAAGAATACAAATTGCTTAGGGTCATTCCATGAACTCAATCAGGCCTACAGTAATTAAAAAGAACACAAATTTCTACATGTTTCTTTCCATGAAATTTTAAAAAAATCTCCAAAGGGAAATGTAAAACACAAATTGCAGTTAGTAAACATGAGTTACCTAAAATAGGCATTTCATTTGCAGAAATGTGTCAATGTGCATATTTATGTGCATGTAAACAGAAAGGAACTGTAACCTGGAAATATTAGCATTAAAGAACACTTGCTAGATACCTTCTGGATCACATATGCATAACAAATTATGTCAGTTACTTCACTGTAAACAAAGAAAAATAAACATTCTTCATTTAAAAAGTCTAGAGGTTTGAAAATTTCAGTTCTTGACTGTCATCTCAAATCTGCTTTTGTATTATACTTCATCTCTGAAATAGAAAAGGCTATGTATTGCTCTCCAATGACACATAAAGTTTCCAGTAACAACTCCACGCACAGACCACAACAATATAACACTGTACTTAAAGAATTTGCCTAGATGCTTTATGAAGCCCAAAAGCAATACACGGGTTTATCAAATCACTTAAAAAAAATGCCCATATATTTCTCAAGTCATATTTTTACTCCAAATACAGCAAATATGTATATTATGGCAGCAAATAAAAAGTTTCAGTAACAAATTTTATATACATATATGTATACACACACACACACACACACACACAGAGAAAATATTGGTCATTTGCTCTTTGTGGGTTTTAAGACTTTGTTTTATGGAAAACATTTCAGATTAATGAACGTTTTACTTAAAGAAGGCAGAACTTCCTATTAAACACTGCAAATTCAATGCCAGTAATTTTCCATAACATACATAAATTTCAAAGTTGAGAGGAAATTATTCCTAATAAACCAAATTTACTATAACTCATTGCTTATTCAGAATATTTTTGACTTCATTTTTAATAGTTTCAGTAAATCTGAAATTATAATAGCATGGGCTTATTGGCCAAGTATTTTCCATAAGCTATTAGTGAGGCAGAAATCTTCTGGGAATATAAGAAGTATCTAGAAGTACAGTTATTCAAGTTGTAGCTAAACTGCCAGTGATTCCCCAATTCTGAAAATATTTAAGCATCCATACGCAAACAAATGTGTGTGGTTGGCAGTTGAACTTTCATGTTTTCTCATTTTCAGTTTGATTTAGCTCTCCCGATAAGGTAACAACTTAAAAATATTTTCTTTTGCACTAATTTTTCCATCACGTGTGATGTAAATAAGTTCCACTATATTAATTGCCTATGAAACAGCAAAATGTTTAATATCTGGTTAATCCATTTTTCCAGGATTTAATTGGTTATGTGTGAATCACTGCCAGACAAGTTTTGATTGTTTTCTAACACATTCACAGTTACGCTAGAGAGGACTGTGTGCATTTGACTAAGAAAGGAAATCTGCAGCAGGAGTTGGGGTACTGGTCTGCAGCTCCTGGCCAATCAACTAGCAAATCACTTTAGAGTTAAGTCTTAACCTCTATAATCCTGCCTCTGGGAAGCGGCACTTCCTAGTGTTAAGAGCTGTGCTTCAAAAGTCAGATGGACTTAGGTATGATTCTGTCTGATAATCAATTCTGTGGGTTTACAGTCTGCTGGTTAGAAAGGGTAGATGGTGGGAGATTGGTTCCCTTACCCACCATGAACCATCTGGAATAACCCAAATGTGTTAACATAAAACAGGCAGAGGAGAAGAGCTACTCCAGATCCAAATCAACCCTGGAAGTCCCTGAGAGAGTAGAAATGTTGAACTGCTTCCTAATGGCTTACAATCTTACAATTTAATTAAAGGCATTTAGAAAGTAACAACAGAGACAACCACTTACTAAGTGACTACTATGCATTTAGAACTTTAAAAAAATATTACACAGGTCATTCTAAATAAGTCAGCTCCACCAATCTACTGTTCATCATAGAAACTGGATCAATTCTTAAAACAAACAAACAAAAAACCCTACAGAAAAACTAATCTCAGTCTGTATTAAGAAAATTTTATAATCCTAAATACTTTTATGAAACCAAGTTAGCATCATTAAAACTGACCCCTGCTGCTGATTCCTGCCCATTCCAGTCTGAAACTTTAGGACAAAAAGGAAAGAGTGTCAAGCTCACAGATAACAGAACCACTGCCAAGTTCTGGCTTATTATTTTCTTTAATTGTTTTTCTTGGGTCCTGTTCAAGTTGCTAGGGTTTTTAAAAGTACGATTATCAATTCGATTCTTACGGGTATACTCAGGGAATTGACTGAAATGGCATGTGTCCAAAATATATAAATGACCCATACTAAAATTTCCCTTAACTCTCTACTTCTACACTTTTCCCATAATATACTATATGGCACATTTTTCCCACATATGCTATTAATTTTCCTTTTATAAAATTAAAATAGGAATTATCTGATGGTCTTTTGAAGAGTTCCACCACATTCCAAAATGTCAGGAGAAAATATAAAATACATAGAGATCTGAATGACGTGGTTTTTTTTTTGGCGCTTCACACCAAGATCAGATATAATCTGCGGTGAGAGCTGTATTTTAAAGAAGTGATTCACTGCCAGATCTCTGAACATCTTCTCTACAGTGATGACTCATACGACTTTCACTCCTGATCTTGGTAGTTCAAACTACCTACTCTCTCTAGGACTCAGTTGTTCTCTTGTAAAATGGTGGGAACAGATTACATCATCACTAATGCTCTTTTCAGCTTTTATATCCTCAGATTCAGTGATTTACTGGGATAAATGGTTATCACCTCAGTTTCCGTACATATCACATGAATTCAGTCACTTTGGACCTAAAACTGTAGCCACTTCTGACTTCCCTGTTTCTGTATGCAATCCTATCAACCTCAAACTCACCCTCGCTGAAGATACTCAAATCTTTCTCAGAATTTACTAATATCCCTGAACTGGACAGTCTTCAATATCTTGTTCTATCTCCTCTTTCCCAGGATGACATTTTCTTACAGATCCCTGGGTCTCCTGACCAATCATCTCAAATTCCCTGGCAACATTAATGATCCAGTGTCAATAATTAAACTCATGCCCAAAGAACAAAAGGAACAGTAACAAACAACAAGTATAAAGAAAATAAGTCTTGATGGCCAGTCCTGGTGTCTGAGTGATTCCCAGGGCCCAGCAAAGGGACCAAGTCTCCAAAGCCCTGAAGACAAGGGGTAACACACCAAAATATGGACTCATTTTCCACTCCACCTTCATTGGCCGAGCAGCTGCCAAGAACAAAGGCCGCATCTCCTGATACCTGGCAAACAAATGCAGTACTGCCTCACGAATCGATTGCTTCTCTGAGGTGCCCACGAGTGTATTTGGGGAGAAGCTTCGAGAACAAGTTGAAGAGCGACTGTCCTTCTATGAGACTGGAGAGATACCACGAAAGAATCTGGATGTCATGAAGGAAGCAATGGTTCAGGCAGAGGAAGTGGCTGCTGAGATTACTAGGAAGCTGGAGAAACAGGAGAAGAAATGCTTAAAGAAGGAAAAGAAACAGCTGGCTGCACTTGCCCTCGCATCTTCAGAAAACAGCAGTAGTACTCCAGAGGAGTGTGAGGAGACGAGTGAAAAACCCAAAAAGAAGAAAAAGCAAAAGCCCCAGGAGGTTCCTCAGGAGAATGGAATGGAAGACCCATCTATCTCTTTCTCCAAACCCAAGAAAAAGAAATCTTTTTCCAAGGAGGAGTTGATGAGTAGTGATCTTGAAGAGACCGCTGGCAGCACCAGTCTTCCCAAGAGGAAGAAGTCTTCACCCCAGGAGGAAACAGTTAATGACCCTGAAGAGGCAGGCCACAGAGGTGGCTCCAAGAAAAAGAGGAAATTCTCCAAAGAGGAGCCAGTCAGCAGTGGGCCTGAAGAGGCAGCTGGCAAGAGCAGCTCCAAGAAGAAGAAAAAGTTCCATAAAGCATCCCAGGAAGATTAGAATGCAAACGGACATTCTCTGGGAGGTGGGATATACCATAGCCCAAGGTGACATCTTCCACACTGTGCCCTGTTCTCCAATAAAAACAAATTCACAAAAAAAAAAAAAGAAAAAAAAAAAAAAGAAAAGTCCTAGAAACTGGCACTGCACAGAATAATACCCAGATTATCTTTTTGTTAGAATAACAGTGAACACCTTAGCAGCTAGAGTTTTCATTAGAAAACTTTCAGGAGCAACCCACACACCCTTAAGCAAGAGATTTAATTCTCTCTATGCCAGCCAAACTGGTGGTGGTGTTGGGTGGTGCGGAGTGGAAGTACTAGTCCTACTCCAGTCAGCTGCCCTAACAGTTATGTCTTCCTCTGTTTATTTATGCTTATAGGAATTCTACCTGCGTTCGAAGGCTCAGTCCAAATCCCATTTCTTCCATAACCACACCAGTGATCTCTAACTCTTTTCATTCAGAAACCACTATGGCCCTTTTTTCTTTTTTTTAAGTTCTGGGATACATGTGCAGAACATGCAAGTTTGTTCCATAGGTATACATGTGCCATGGTGGTTTGCCACACCTATCAACCTGTTATCTAGGTTTTAAGCCCCACGTACATTAGGTGTTTGTCCTGATTCTCTCCCTCCCCTTGCCCCGCATCCCCCGAAAGGCCCCAGTGTGTGAAGTTCCTCTCCCTGTGTCCATGTGTTCTCATTGTTCAACTCCCAGTTATGAGCGAGAACATGCAGTGTTTGGTTTTCTGTTCCCGTGTTAGTTTGCTGAGAATGATGGCTTCCAGCTTCATCCTTGTCCCTGCAAAGGACATGAACTCATTCTTTTTTATGGCTGCATAGTATTGCATGGTATATATGTGCCACATTTTCTTTATCCAGTCTATCACTGATGGGCATTTGGGTTGGTTCTAAGTCTTTGCTATTGTGAATAGTGCCACAATAAACATCTGTGTGTATGTGTCTTTATAGTAGAATGATTTATAATCCTTTGGGTATATATCCAGTAATAGGATTGCTGGGTCAAATGGTATATCTGATTCTAGGTCCTTTAGGAATTGCCATACTGTCTTCCACAATGGTTGAACTCATTTACATTCCCACCAACAGCGTAAAAGTGTTCCTATTTCTCCACAGCCTCATCAGCATCTATTGTTTCCTGACTTTTTAATGATCGTTATTCTAACTGGCGAGAGATGATATCTCATTGCGGTTTTGATTTGCATTTATCTATTGACCAGTGATGATGAGTTTTTTTCATATGTTTGTTGGTATGGCCCTTTTCATTATTGCTTAAATTCTATTGAAACACAAACTGCACTCTGGGTTAGTTCCATTTAGATGGCAATAGGGAAACAGTTGGGATATGACTAGTCAGTGCTTGATTCACACCACAACCCTAAGAACATAAAGCCCTAAGAAGTTGGCAATAGTTTATAATTGAACACAATTGACTGTATCATAAAGTACAATGTAGTAAGTGCTAAAAGGTAAGTGTACACAAGCAAAACAACAACAACAAAAACAAACAAAAAGTACACAGAAGGAAAAAGACTGTTTCTGTGAAAGCCAGAAAGATTTCAGGGAAGAGGCAGCACTAACATGACCTTAAAGGATGGTCAAAGCAGAGCTGAGGAAGGCATGGGAAGACTAAAACTTTAAAAAGGCAAGAGAGTCCTTCTTCTGAGATGTAGCTTCTCTGGCCGCTTCTCCATTATGGAATCATAAAAGTTCAACTTGTCAGTTGCCATTTACAATCAGCTTCTTGGCTGCATAAGTTACTCAGTATGTTTTGCTTGTTTGTTTCTTATGAGACAGAATCTTGCTCTGTCACCCAGGCTGGAGTGCAGTGGCACGATCTTGGCTCACTGCAACCTCCGCCTCACAGGTTCAAGCAATTCTCCTGCCTCCCCAGTAGCTGGGATTGTGTGCCACCATGTCTGGCTAATTTTTGTATTTTTAGTAGAGATGGGGTTTCACCATGTTGGCCAGGCTGGTCTCGAACTCCTGACCTCAGTGATCTGCCTGCCTCAGCCTCCCAAAGTGCTGGGATTACAGGATTGAGCCACCACGCCTGGCCACAATGTGGTTTTTATTTTGTTTTTTTGCTCATATTGGGTTATTTTCTCTCGCTAAACAAGTGTTTTGTGATTAAAATTGTCAAAAATCGACAGCAATGATAATTTTTTTTAAAAAAAAAAAAAAAAAGCTCTGAAGTAAAGTGTGGCTCATGTTTTTTGTAATGACAGGACAGGCTCCATAGCATCAACAGGAGACCCCTGAAACTTTCCTTCCAACTGATCGTAACAGTACTCAAGGGCCACCACTTCCATCAGTTTCAAAGCTCTTTTAATTTACCCATGGTTTCTATCTCACTCTTTCCCTTCAACAGACTTCGGTAATTATAGTCCTATAATTCAACCAATTACACATCTTTCTTTACTAATAAATTTGAAGATATTTGAGAATAGGAGGTATCAGTTACAGAAGGTTATAGTCAACAAAAGTTTTATTTCTGTTAATAAAAACAACACATATTTAGAGAATTTGGAAGAAAGAGAAATAAAGATATTAAATCACTAATGTTAATACTTCAATTTTCTTCTTTTTCAGCTAAACCTATGAATATATATTTTAATAAAATCAGGAGAAAATGTAGTTGAGGTATAATTTACAAACCATAAAATGTATCAACTGTAAGTATAAAATTCAGTACTTTTTAATATACAGAGTTTTGCAACCGGTGCCATAACTCAGATTTGTTTGTTTGTTTTACATTCTTCGGACCCTATTATTTATACTACATTAAGATCAGTCTTTTTTCTTTTCTTTTCTTTTTTTTTTTTTTTTTTTTTGAGACAGAGTCTCGCTTTGTTGCCCAGGCTGGAGTGTAGTGGCGCCACTCAGCTCACTGCAACCTCTGCCTCCTGGGTTCAAGCAATTCTTCTGTCTCAGCCTTCCGAGTAGCTAGGACTACAAGCAAGCGTATTCATATACAAACGTATGTATATACAACCAAGCGTATTTAACTTAGCATAGTGTTTACGAGGTTCAAACATGTTATCAGTAGTTAGTTCCTTTTTACTGCTGTACAAATATACCATATTTTATTTATCATCTCAACAGCTGATGAACACTTAACTTGTTTCTGGATTTTGGCTATTCTGCATTAATAATACTGGAAACATTTAGGTAAATGTCTTCATGTGGAAGTATGTTTTCATTTCTCTTGGGTAGACGATACCCAGGAGTGAAGTCACTGGGTCATATGGTAATTTAATATTTAACTTTTAAAAAACTGCCAAACTGTTTTCCAAAGTGGGTGTACCATAAGCAGATATTCCCAGCAGCAATATTTAAGGGTTCCAGTTATTCCACATGCAACACTTGGTATTGTTGTTCTCCTCAATTATAACCGTTATATTGGGTGTACAGTAATAGCTCACTGTGGTTTCTAATTTTCATGTCGTTTATGATTAACAACTGTGAAAACCATTGCATGGTCTTAGCCATTCATATATTTCTTTGCTCAAATATCTATTCAAATAAATTCCCCATTTAAAAAAATTGTGGGGGTCCTTTCATCGTGGAGTTTTGGACTTCTTTATATATTTTCAATATAAATCTTTTATCCAATATATAGTTTGGAAATATTTTCTACCGATTTGTGACTTGTCTTTTCATTTCTTTAATGGTGTCTTTTTAAGAGGACAATTCCAATTTATCGATTTTCATTTATATATTGTGTTTTTGCTATCATATCTATGAAATCTTTGTGTAATCCAAGGACACAAAATGTTCTACCAGATTTCCTTCCAGAAGTTTAAACTTTTATCTCCTACACTGAGGTCTTTGATCAATTTTGAGTTGACATTTGTGTATGTTATTACATAAGGGTGTATATCTTTTTGCATTTAAATACCCAATTGTCATAGCATCATTTATTGAAAAAGTTATCATTTCTCCACTGAATTGCCTTGCAACTTACTAAAAATCAACTGCCCACAAATGTCAGGGTTCATTTTTGAACTTTCCATTCCATGCCATGAATCAATATGTTTATTTTTACAACAATAACATACGGTCTTGATCTCTGTAGCTTTATACAAAGTTTCTGAAATTGTGTAGTGTAAGTCTTCCTACTTTGTTCATTTTCAAACCTGTTCTGGCAATTCTAGTTCATTACATTTTCATATAATGTAATATATGAAATATAATTGTAGCTCAGATGGCCAATTTCTACAAAAAGCTTGGCTAGGATTTTGACAGGTGTGACATTAAATCAACAGAGAAATGTGGGGTGAGGTTTCATCTTAACAATACGGCATCTTCAATCCATAAACGTGGTACCCTTTTTCATTTATTTTAATCTTCCTTTATTTCTTTCCATCAAGATTTTGTAATTTTCAGTATAAAAATTCTAAATATGATTTGTTAGATTACCCCTAGGTATTTCTGTTTTACTGTAAGTATTTAAAGTGATTTTAAGTGGTATTGTATTCTAAATTTGGTTTTCCACATGTTCATTGATAGTATACACAAATATGACTGTGTGTGTGTATGTTGGGAAAATTCCTTTCTATTCAAAGTTTGTTAAGCCTTTAACATAAATAGGTGTTAGATTTTATAACAAACATTTTTTTACATCTATTGGAATAATAGTGTGATTTTTAAACTTTATTCTATTAACATGGTATTACATTAAACGATTTTGAGATGTCAAACTGAACTTTAGATACACCCCCTTGGTCATGGGTTACATTTTTTTAAAGCAACTTATAGTAGCTATGTTAATTACTAGCATGACAAGAAGTTTACAAGTACATTATTAATTCTCATCATTTTTTAACATTAGCCCAGAAATTTTGAATGGAGGAATGTATTATCTTTGAACAAACACCTCACTTAAAAAATCCCAGTGTAAATCATAACAGCCATTTACTGGCAGGTTTTGTAACACAGGACATTTTATTTATATCTAGTCCTCAATTTCCTCATCTGTAACTTGGATATATTAAAACCTACATATAACACAAGATTTGGTGAAAATCAAATGAGATAGTATTTTTTAAAGATTGGCAAAGTAGGAACTGAAAAAGTCCATGGGA